GGGATGCCTTTATTCAGATGTCTCCAAAACTGTTTTGCAGGATTCTCATTTCCCCTCAATTGGCAGAGGTATCCCCAGGTTTCTTCCAGGTTTTAGCAAAATTAAGATCTCAGAGGACTCAATCTTCATGTCATAACAATCAGAGAAAAAGATAAAAACCATGTTTTTTCATTGGGGAACATCTGCAGAAGATGCAGACGTTTTATTCCATTATTTGGAAGGAATATCTAGCACTTACCATGCTGCTAAGACAGAATATAGTCCCTACTGTACATCCAAAGAACTATTTGCTGGGCTGATTAGAATTGCTGGAGGAAAAGTGAGCCGCAGATAAAGCACATGACATTTGGGGCTTTGGGTGTCCAGGGTTCAACCCCTCCTGAAGAGAAAAGGGAGGAAGATCTCCCTGCGAGATAATGAAGAAGAGACAAGGAAGAAAAAGAGGAGGAAAGAGGCATCATTGTCATCTGGAGAGGACAGAGGGTGAAGAAATTGTCACCATATAGAGGTCTCTCTGCCTCATCCAGTGTGCTGCTGCTCACCATTGCAATTCCCAAAGTTTTGAGACAAGGCTGTGGCAGTCAGTTTTCACTACATATTAAACGTCACTATTTGACTAATCAATTACTTAACAGATTAGGTGACCCAATGCGAATGATTATGGGCCTCTGCATGACAACATGGCCACAGCGTCACTTTTAACTATCTCTTTATTTGCTCTTTTTATTCCCTGATCCTCAGTGACTTGATCCAGTGTGTACAGAGCCCATGTGCTTCTCCTCCACACCTATATTCTGTTTTATGGCTCATTACTTTCTGTGTCCCTTCCTCCTACTACTTCTGCTGCACCTTCACTCAGAGGGGAGCATATGACTTCAAATGCTTGCACTCAGAGACATCCTTGCTTTTACGGTTTCTGTAACACAACTGGGACTTCTGGGTCTTTTTCCTATTATCTAGGGAATAAAACTTCTGCAGCCAAGAGGGATTTGAGTTCATTATCATATCATAGAATCACAGAATGGTTTGGGTTGGAAGGGACCTTAAAGCTCCTCCAGTCCAACCCCTGCCATGGGCAGGGACACCTCCACCAGACCAGGTTGCCCAAAGCCCCATCCAACCTGGCCTTGAACACTGCCAGGGAGGGGGCATCCACAGCTTCCCTGGGCAACCTGTGCCAGTGTCTCACCACCCTGATAGTAAAGAATTTCTTCCTAAAGTCTTGTCTAAATCCCCCCTTTTCCAGTTTAAAACCATTCCCCCTCGTTCTATCGCTACCTGCCTTTGTAAAAAGTCCCTCCACAGCTTTCCTGTAGGACCCCTTCAGGAACTGGAAGGCTGCATTAAAATATTTCTCTTTAGAGATCACTCCAGGGAACACGGACATTCCTGAATCATGTCATATTTTCACTTCTTTAATTCTGGATGCTGCATTTCTGCAGATATCTAAGGTCCTAGCAGGAGCACACTGAAAGTGTGACCATCTGCCTTTGGAAATGAGTTAACAAAACAGCCTTACTTTGACTTAGAAAGGCTTCTTTCAGTCCCATTTTTAGAACTGGACTACTGTGCTCTTCATACTGCATGTGAAATAGTGTCTGAGCACAAGTGAGAGGACCCAAAGCCTGTCTGACACTGACCATGCCAATCCCTTTAAAGGAAGGATCCAGTTGTGGGGTCACCCTATCGCCGTTGACTGGGCAGAACCAGAAGTGGAGGTGGACGAAGACACCATGTCATCAGTAAAAATTCTCTATGTGAGGAACCTCATGCTCTCGACCACAGAGGAGACCATAGAAAAGGAGTTCAACAACATCAAACCAGGTAGGGATCCATTGACGTGCTAGCTCCTAAATAACTACTGCTACTGCAAACAGAAACATTTCTCCATTCATAAAACATCCAAGAGAAAAAAAATAGCTGGTTTACTGCTGTAAAATGTCCATGTTTAATGACACAAAAATCATCATTAGGCTGAAGGCTCCCACCCAACAGGTACCTCATGTTATCCCATTGAGGACTGCTTAATTTCCAGCTAACAACACTACTAACTTTTTCAGAATGATTGGCAACTGGAAGAGATCTAAAATGCTGCATGGGGATGCCTGTCTCATAAAAATTATTTTGAATCATTTGGGTCTTCCTTAAACAGGGAGAATTGCTGTAACAGTTGGATGATTTCAGCATTATTCTTCTATGGGAAAGGATGATGATAGAAATAAAGTGATTGAATGCAAATGCTTTTAATCTAATCTGTGTAAACTCTGAGTTCTATCATTTTCATACAAAAAACCTCAAAGCCTTCTGTAGATTTGTGAAAAATCAGTGCTTATCATTTCATGCAGAATATGACAGTATTCCTCTGTGGTGTATATTGCACGCACTTAGAGTGAGATTTTTCAAAAAGCAAGTGGGTTTATCAAGAATAAAAGTCCTGCTGGCTTTCAAAGGAGATTTCACTTCTGGGTTGCTCCAGCTTTAGGAAATTCCACCCAAAGACAACAAAGTAAAAATAACCCATCTCTGCAGCTCTCCAAGCCACACAGCCCATTAGGCATTAGTAACTTATGCTTGGCAATGGGAAATTGGCTTTCATCTTGTTCCTACTAACTTCCTTCTATTAATCTTTTAAAATACACTGCAGAGCTTCATTTTCCCTTCACTGACTTCTAATTTCTACTCTACAAATTTTTTTGTGCTAGGTTGCAATGCAAAGGTCTTTACGAGGTTTCTCTATGAGTATTTTCTGGGTTTTTTAATGTTTCTGGCTAATACTTCTAGCCACCATCAAGCCGTTAGAGATCCCATTTTACCCCTGAGTTAAATATGCATCAACTCACTCTCTTAACTGTTTCTTCCTTTATTTACCCAGTTTTGTTCCTGAACATTGAACCGCTCACACTCCTCAGAAACATATTTATGCCCATGTAATGCTTTGGTAACAGTCATCTAAATTTTCTAGTAAAACAACAAAAGATCTGCATCATCTTTAATTTTCCTTTCATCATTTTATCACTTTGCTTCTCATCCTGGAAATTCTTTTTCATTTTCTTAAACGGATAGTTTTCTTTATTGTGCGTAAAATCGGGAATACAATTTTTAAAGCCATGCCGTGCTTTCAAAAAGAACATGCATCAGAGCAGCAAAACCCAAGCTTTGAGGAGAGCAAATGCTGTTTAAGTTATATTGAGAAGACAATAAAAAAGCCAGCAAGGGTCTGAAATTGTTCACTTCCTCTCCTCTGTTATCTGCCTTATTCATTCCACTGCGGTTCAGTACTGCTTGCCTGAAGCGTACATTTGATCCCAGGCATTAAGAGGTTGTTTTGGCAATAACAAGTCATCCAATTAAAAATGATCCTGAAGAGAGGAGTTATGACCCAGAGGACCCCATGACAAAGCAATTACCACGTTGTTATGGGCTCCATAGATATTACCAGAAACACTGCTTACGCATTTCAAGTTGTAGCATAGTACAAGTATCACCCTTTAAATCTGGGCCAGATTCAGTGCCTCATGAATTCTATAGAGATAGGCATCACTTGTGCCATTGAAAAGCCCTGCCCTTGCACCCTAGAGATTTTGGCAAAACTCCTCATCCCTGGCAAAGCTTCCAGCAGGAAGGCTGTGCTCTCCAAATGCACCCACGGGGACAATACTCCCCTTGTAATGTCACATGTACGGTCTCTCCATGGAGATGACCCAAGGGTGGGTATCACACTGCTTTGCCCCAGTAAAGGCAGAAGCAGGGGAGAGTGAGATTTCTGGTCCAAGCGAGGACTGCTAACACAGACCACTCTCAAGGAGGCAGAAGAGGGATTTTCAGATCACAGAGAGTTCATTAAAGCCTTGACTTGTAAACAAGGCAGCAACACATAACTCCCGTAACTTCAGGCTTAGAAAATCACCCTCTGATCCCAGAAGGATACAAAGTGCTACTGGTATCATACAAAGTGCATTCTGGTATCATTTTGAAGACATGCAGGCTGTTCAGGTTGTAGGCTGGGATAGGCTTCATTTAGCTTTCTGGAGCTCCTAAGGACTCCCCCTAAACTCCAGAGAAATATATTTTCTCCTGAAGTTATTTAAGTAAGTGCCTTTTGCAGCAATATGACATTTCCCTGCACACCTGTTCAGCTTTAAAGGGTAAGAAGACAACAGAAGAGCCATTCAGCATCCCTTAGCCATATTTCCAAATGAGACGTTTAGGGAAGTTACAGTCTCAGTGGCTGGGCTGGTTGATGATGTGCTTCTCAACCCACAGGAGTGGGCAAGATGAACAATGAGAGAAGAAAAGGTAGATATCAAAAGCTTGTGACCATGGGGAATAGGACTGCTGTGGTTATTTTGGAGGCAAACTTATTAGTGCTGAGTATCTCTGTGCCGAGAAGTTCCTGGCTGCAGTTTGGAGTTGCTCTGTCTTAGACAGGACTGGATGCTTGCTCTTGCTGAATGTCCCAAATCAATGGCTAAGAGAAGAGCCTCCTTGTTCTGCAGCAAAAGCATCAGCTTTCCTGAAGTTGCCTCTGAGTAGCGTGTACACCGCACACATGAAACCACGGAGACGGTGACCACATGATGATGTTACCTGTAGCTCGCCAAATCCTGGGCTGTTGTATGTCCCAGTCACCCATTCAGGTGCTGGTGATCTTTTGCAGAAGGGAGACAAAGAAGAAAGTCATTCCAGTGTAATGGGAAACTTACTGGTGCCTAACACCAAGTATTTCTAGTTTTCTTTGAAATACTTTATTTTCCCATGGTATATACATCCTAAGAGGTAATAAGACGCTGTCCTCTTTTTCTTTTACCCTTCATCAGCCTTTGTTCTCTAAGGGCTCATAACCCAACACAGTTTCTCTTTCAGATCTGTATTTTCAAACTAATACCAACTTCCAACTAATATTCCAACTTTTCCTGCAGGTGCAGTAGAGAGAGTAAAGAAAATTAGAGACTACGCCTTTGTGCACTTTAATAAAAGGGAAGATGCTTTGGAAGCTATGAAAGCCTTGAATGGGAAGGTAAAGCTGCTGTAAATACCAATTTGTGGGGCTTATGTGTGGTATATTACATACAGCTGAAATAAAGCTGCCTGGTTTATTAGCTACAAAACCACCCTGAAGGTGTTAGACCTATTTTCTCTTCACAGGCTGCTTTTATACTGCTGAATTTGTTTTTCAGTGACCCTGATGTACACAGACTGCTGATTTGGGCTACTTGCTCCTCACATTCATGCTAAATGTTTGCCCAGCTCAGACTGTAGTTCACCCCTCAGAAACAAAAAAGCAGAGCAAAGCTGAAACAGGGACTAGTAAACGAGGGGTTACGGATCCCTTGGCTCGCACTCACACTCTCGTTCTACGTCTGCCAACAAAAACATTTGCAGGGCGGCGTGTGAATGGCAAACCGGGCCAAACAAGGTCAACCCAAAACATCTGCTCCAAATTCAGAGGCGGATTTGCAAGGAGGTTGCTGTATTTAGTACATGCGTGTACTTCATGGTGCTGTAATGCAAGAGCTGTTCCCCAAGAGGTGTTAACCCCATTCCTATTTTTAGTGCTCCTGCTGTTCTCCACAAGAGCATGTATAATCTCATTGACTTACCCGCCACTTTGCAGGAAGGTGAAGCCTTTCGATGGCTACACCACTGTGCTGATTTGGTTAAGGAGCCTCTCCCGGCTGGGGTGACGGCTGGGTGCCCTCAACACGCTAAATCTTCACCCAGCCAGTGCCTTCTTCCACCCATGGGAAGGAGATTTTGATTCTTTGGGTGGTTTTCTCCATCTTCCCACTCCATTAACAAATGCCATGGGGAAGCTCCCTCCCTAGGCAGGATAATCCCCATGCATTTTGGTGTCTCATACTTATGTTTCTCTTGTGCTCTCTCCCCACCACCCCACCATGAAGGTGCTGGATGGGTCCCCAGTCGAGGTGACATTAGCCAAGCCCGTTGACAAAGACAGCTACGTCAGATACACCCGGGGCACAGGCGGCAGAGGTACCATGTTGCAAGGAGAGTACACCTACACCTTTGGGCATGTGTACGACCCTGCCACCGCTTACCTGGGTGCCCCAGTTTTCTACGCACCCCAAGCCTACGCAGCTATCCCCAACCTTCACTTCCCTGCCACTAAGGGGCTCAGCAACAGGAGCATCATCCGGCCCCCATCCATCCGAGGTAACTCCTGTCACGCCAATACTCAGCTCTTTCAAAATACATCCTCTGAGGCTTGTTCACTAGACTTGTGTCTAGGATGTTGGTATTGCCCCAGATGCTGGGTCCCTTTCTAAGAGGGATGGAAAACACAGTTTTTAGGCTGTATCCTTCCCAGAGGCATAGCAATCTTTCAGCAGACTAAGCAGGGCATGAAAAAATTAACCAGTTTCCCAAAGCAAGCTTGAAACAGCTTCCAGACTGCCCTGCGTCCAGTGTAAAGAAACCACAAATCTTCCTGATTTTGCCCCAGCAGAGAAGACCAAATAAAACAACTTTCCTCCCCCTTCTTCAGAGCCAACTCCCTCAGCCAGCCACCAGCACAGCTCTCCTCTGTGTTTCCTCTTTGCTTTGAAGGTCACAGGGAAAGTTTTACCAGTCCTGGTGTTTTCTCACCCAAGGCCATGGAGTTTCCCAAGGAGGTCACATTACCCTGCTGCAGGGTAGGGAACCAGCATTGAAATCAAGAAAGCCATTAATTGTGTGCTCCTTTTGGGGGGAATCATTAACCTAATAATAAGAAGCCTATGAAAGTAGAGAGTATTTATGAAAGCTGCTGGGACTCTGCCTCTGATCTCGAGTGACTGCGCTGTGAACCAAATCAAATCACCATGCTCAGATACCCCCAAATCAAATATTATTGCAAGCATCATTTGCTAAGTGCAAAAGTAAGCTTGGGAGGTAGCAAAAAAAAATGTGTGTGTGTGTATATATATATATATGTACAGACACACACATATATATGCCCATTTGATCTTTCTTCAAAAAATTATGCCTGTGGCAGTCAGCTTGTATCCCCAAGACTGTGGCCAGACTGGTACCCATATGGCACCCTGGTAGAGCTGACCGGGGCCATGCCAGCCAACTTTTCCCCCTTCCCAAGGAAGGGAACAGGGGAGAAGGAATTTCCCTTGCTGCCCCCCAGGTTTTTGCCTGCACAGGTGAAACCATCTTCTATGAAGGTTGCATTGGGAAAGGTGCAGCTGTGATAACCCAATAGCCCTCTCTTGCCTTACAGTCTCCACAGACTCCCAAGCAGGGCTCCCTGAACAACAACAGAGGCATGATGAGAGTTAAAAAAACCCAGATTTTGGTTCATATAAGCAAGGGATTGTATAAACTCTGAATTCTTCAAGAAGGTGAAATTACATGTTGGGTAGCAAGTGGTATCAGCTGTCCCCGCTCTGCCTTTCAATTACAAATCTGGGTAGAAAGGTGTCACAAAATTGAATCCAACCAGAGAAGGTGGAAACTGGGTCAGAAAGAAGCAGGGCTCCTCCCTGAAAAACTTCACCAGTCCAAGCATATGCACCCAAAAAGAAAGGGTGTCAGTGTCAAGCCTGGGTTATCCCAGCAGCATGCTACAGTGGGTCTCCTGCCCATCTTCTTCCCAAACCCAGCATGCGAGGCTAACTTTTCCATTTCAGCGAGAATCAGGGTCATTTTTTCCGGTGATTTGATTCAGTTTAATGCCTTCTTACATTCCTAGAAATTTACATGAATGTACCTGTAGGGGCTGCGGGAGTTAGAGGCCTGGGAGGTCGCGGCTACCTGGCGTACACGGGTCTGGGGCGCGGATATCAGCTCAAAGGAGAAAAGCGGGGAGAGGATAAACTCTACGACCTCTTGCCAGGAATGGAGCTCACGCCGATGAACCACGTCACGCTAAAGCCCCAAGGGATCAAACTCGCTCCTCAGGTATGTGTGCAAAAAAGCGAGTCGATATCCCAGCCAGAGCTTGTCTTTGCCCAAAGTGCTTTTGGGAAAATGGCCCCCTGCTTGAATTGGCACTGAGGGTTGACAACTAAATCCATTCTTGCATCTCAAAAGACATTTAAAAAAATAAAATACCACTAGTTTCACCTTGCAATACCCTCCTGCCTTGCTGGAGAATGGTCTCCACTCTCTCTCAGAGGAGAGTTTTCATAAACACCCATGCACATAAGATGAAATCCAGCCATGTCTGTCACTCCATAAAAAGCACTGAGGATAAAGAAATTCTCACCCAAAATGGGTTTAATAAACAGGATGCATCATCTGGGGCTTCACCAAGGAACGAATGGACACATATAGAAAAATAATGTACATCTTACAATGCCATTCATGGGGACAGAGGTGCTGACTGTCTGCACAGCCCAGTCCAGCACAGAAACTGCTTGCTCAAGGAGGCTTCTGATGTGGTTATGTGTGCAGGACAGGGATGCAGGTGGATGAATGAGGGTTGAGAAGAACAAACCCAGAACAAATTCCCCTGGGTTTCTGAGAGTCTGGCTCTTACAGCAGCTCCTTTTCCCTTTCTTCATCCAAACCAACATGAGAAACTAACTTTACACTGAGGTTTGAAGCACCTCTCTGCCCGTTAACACTTCAAGTGCCACAGCATCCAATTTGCCAAATCCTACAAAAACATCCTTTCCCCTCAGAAAACCGGAAAGTGGGGTTTTTCCCACCCCCATGCAAAAAGTCACAGTTCCCTTATTCTATTTTTTTTAGCATACAAGAGGGGTGAAATAGTCTGAGTAGTGCTGCACTGCCTTAGGGCAAGGGAAATTAATTTTTTCCCTTTTCCTGCCCATGCCAAACCCCCACTGCATGTATTTCAAATAGTGCTGTAATGGCACCAGGCACTTGCAACACTAATTTTTGGGACATATTTTCCCAGCAGCTGAGCTGCCTAATCCCCACTCCTTGCCTCCTCCTCCTTTCCCCACTATTTCACAACAGCAGTTCTTAAATAGCTTCAGTTTGCTTCGTGACAGCCTTGTTAATAGGACAGTGTCATCAATACCTGTCAACTTGGTCAGCCTTTCCCATCCGCTGTACTGAGACCATTTCAACACCATCTTTGAGTAATGGATTTTGTTCCCACTGCCCAGCCAGTACGCTCAGTGTTAATAAGTAGATTTGCCTTACTGAGGATTTAAATGTTGATGTAACATTATAAAACTGGTATCCACATAAAGGCACTGGGACAGTACAAAACAAGTGTTGCTATAGTCAAATAATATCATGAGCTGGTTTATTTACCCCACAAAGTGCTAAACTTCAGTTGGAGCTATAATTACAAAACTAAAAGCAGCATTGACGTTTAAACTTTACATTTTCATTTTAAATGAAATTAAGTAAATAAGGTAGAGCACAGAAAGACACAGATTGGGGGCACTGGGAGGGGTGTCCGGTCCTGCCCAGCTGGCAGCATGGACAGCATTGCAAAGACCCAGGACCCAACACCTTCTCAGCTGAGTGTCAGGTCTGGTGGAGCTACTTGAAAAAAAAACCCAAAACGATCTGAGCAGTGCTACAGGGAGGCACGGGAGCACCACGCTGTGTTCAAACCCATATAGCCAGTGGGTTAAAAAAAATAACAAACTACAAAGTGAAAGCAGGAGCATTTCCAGATAGCGATTCCCAATTACCATGGAATAAACTGTGCTAAGGCTGTGGGCGACGTGGTTCAGCATTTCTTTTTCAAGCTAGAAGCAGAAATCGCCTATTGAAGCCTGTGTAGTTAATTGGATGGAAACACAGCCTTTTTTCTTTTTTCTTTCTTTTTTTTTTTTCTCTTTCGTTAAAAAAGAGAAGGCAGTTTGGACTTTTCATGCACTGTAACCCACTAAGCCAGGGAGGCAGCAGAGCAGTGAAGATTAATGCAACACTGGTGCTTTATCACCATTAAAAAGAAGTGCATAGATAGAGTTTCTAGGGAGATTCAAAGAAAACCACGCTGACAGAAGAATAAAACTGCTAATCAACAAAAGGACAAAGCCATCCCATTTAACAGGGTAATAATTAACTTTAGGAATTATAAGTTTTTTTAGAGTATAAAAAATTTAGATGAATCTTATACTTCAAGGTGAACTGTGATAGCCTGTCTGCCTTTTTTTCCTTCTTTTTCATTCTAATATTTTCTTGGGAGCTGCCACATCACTCCTGAACCCCCTTTGGAGGGAAGGAAGCTCACCAGTGCAGGGGCTGGAGCTGGGCAAGAAGGCTATTGCACAGCAATTACCCCGAGCAAAAATCCCTTTCTTCCTTTCTAGATCTTAGAAGAAATCTGCCAGAAAAACAACTGGGGACAGCCCGTTTACCAGCTCCACTCTGCAATTGGCCAAGACCAAAGACAACTCTTCCTGTACAAAATCACCATCCCTGCCCTCACCAGCCAGAACCCCGCCATGTAGGTAACCCTTTGAAGTTTGGGGTTTAGGATTTTTTTTTTTAAGTAATTTTATCTGGACTCTCTCCTCGAAATACAATCGCAATGGAGTCTCTACTTCTCTAGTCTCTACTTCTTTTTTTATATATTAGGGGCAAAAACATCCACAGACTACAATAGACTAACAGTGATGTCTGCCATGCTTGATGCTCTCTCTTTGATGGTGCAAAAATTACAGAAAACCACAAATAATCAGGCAAAATGGTGCTTTTTAGTACAAAAATAAAACATATGATAGCTCTTGTGGGAAAAAGAAAGCAGCTTGAAGGAACACGCAGATATTTTGGCTTTTAATGTGATCCTAAACATTTCTGACCCAAAATATTGTTTGCTGTGTATTTTAAAGAAAACTGCAGACTGCAGCAGGCTTTCTTTTGGACTGAAAATTCACAGCATGCTCTGAAAGGATGTTGTGTCCAAAATGAGACCCAGGCTCAATAAACTCAGCAAAGAAACCAAAGCACTACAAGGAGAGTGCTTTTGTTAACACATCAACGGAGTAAAATAATGTTTCTATGTGATGTGTGGGATGATGCCACCTATGAGTGGATCACAACATCTTGCAGGAAAGTCCTAGAGGAGAAGAAACAAAAGCAAAACCAAAAACAAAAACCCCAAACAAAACAAGCTAACATATTGCCGTATTCACAGACATCCCTTCACACCACCCAAGCTCAGTGCCTACATTGATGAAGCCAAAACCTACGCAGCAGAATATACCCTTCAGACGCTGGGGATTCCCATGGAGGGAGCAGAGGTGCCGCCTGCAGCGCCAGCTTTTCCAGGTATGGGCAGGTCTGTAGCAAAGTTCTCCTGGAGTATTATTCATCCTGTGTGCTTCCTTGCAAGTGTCAAGAATGAACCCTGTTTCGGCCACCAAAGACAGAGCTGGCTGTGCTCCCCCACACGCCTCTATTTTGGCTGATGTTACTTATGTGCATGACATCTTTATTGCCTATGTAGTAATTTATCTCTATATCAAGACAACCCAAATTACAGTGTACATACCATAAAGCAAGTCATGCTGGAGGCACTGGGTTAGGAGGTCTTTGATCCCACCCTGCTTCCAGCATGGTCAGTGTTGCAGTTACAGCAGGTTGCTCGGGGCTGTGTCCGGGCAAGTTGGAGCAGTCTGTGAAGATGGGGATCCCCCACCACTCAGGGTCCCATCCCAGGTACACACCTCCCCTCCACTTCTTCCAGTTTGTGGATGCTCCCCTTCAACTGGAAGCCTCAGATAGGATGCAGGATCCAGAAGTGGCCTCCCCAATGCCACGTCTGGGATAAGTCTCCTCCCTGGACTTGCTGGTCGCAGTCTGGCCTACGTCACCCAGGATAAACTAGATTTTCCTCACTGCAAAGATGCATGGTTGATTGATGCACAGTCAATCAAGACCCCCTTGAACCAACACTTTTGATTTCATCCGCCAAAGAAATGACACAACTGCAAAATTCAGGATCTGACCACAGCTCTTGTGCCCTCACTGTTTTTCTTTCAGTTGGTTTGTCTTCCGGTTTGGGAATTCATACTCAGCAACTCCTGCAACTGCCCAGAACAGTTTGGGAAGTCATGAAAAATCTGGGCTGGGGGGCAGGAATCCAGCTTGCAGGCGTTGCATTCACTGTGCTCTCCAGCATGACGGCTATTCTGATGCAGTGGGAGAAAGGCAGGCCATGAGGAATGCATTAGTCAGTATTACCGTGTTGTTTGCAGTGTCTCAAGGATGGGTTTAAAAAAAAAAATCCAGCTTCCTGCCACAGGAGTCCACAAAAGCCACAGAAAAATCAATTTGTTTGGGTCTGTGCAGACTTCCGCAGCACGGAAAGCAAAAGGACTCTTTATTCAATTCACTCCAGTCCCCACTTACAGCTTAATTATAATTTCTCCTTTTTCTTTCCTCTGCCCTTATTTATTTGTCTTGGAAACTCAACAAATTGACATACCTTAAAGTTTCTACTTGCAACACACTGGTCCTTGATCTGGGCTCGCTGAAGCCCAGCCCAGCTCAGGCCATGCCCAGGCAGCAGCACTTTTCTCTTATGATGGTGGCAGACATGCCTTAAATGGCAGAGTTCTCAATTCCTAGTCAAAATGTTGTGTCTTGCTTTGCTGATGCCTAAGATGACACTTTGAGTGGTCACAATATTCAAGTTACAGCATTTTCCCCTAAGGCAACACCCTCAATGAAGCAATGCTCCCCCAGTGTTGCCCGATATCTCCATTGCCCAGCTGGTCAGTCAGAGATTTTGGATCCTGGGACATGTAGTTTGGCAGCACAGTCTGGTCCAGCAGAGCGGACAAGTACCCCAGCTACTCTTCCCACATTTGGGCTTCATCTTAATCCTTGATTCTTTCACAATGTAATATTGTGGTCTGGTCAACAAGCTGCTATACCCTGCTTTCAGACAAACTAGCCCCAAACAATGTTTGTTTTCCCAGTGATTCATTTTAAATCAGCAAAGCTAACATTTTCCCATGGAATATTTTGAAGTGTTGAAACCACATTTTCCATTAGAAACTGGTGGGGAAAAAAAATCCAGTTTACTAAATATTTTCTCCCCTATATTGCACAGAGGAGGTTTCCCTCCTCTCTAATGTGGCTGTCCTGAATTGCATGTATTTGGACTGTGAAGGGTATCAGAGCCGTATTTTCTCTATGATACCTGCTCAGATTTCTCCTATATGCCTTCATTTTCTTGCCCTCCACATGTCATGCGTCGGAGGACTTGTACAGAGGACCATTAACAGCCTAATTGCACAGAGGCAGCCAAAGTCTAAGGGAAAGAATATTCAACAGAAAAACATTTTTCCAGCAAAGTGTTTAACAAACAGTAAGTGAGAAAACGCAATTATTTTCCAGCTTTTTAAAATTATCTTTAGGGTGGAGAATAAAACATACCAGAAAATCCTTATTTCGTTTAATTAGATTGCTCCCATTAACAAACTGGTTTCTGTATACGTCATTACCTCGATAGTAAAATCCTCCCATCAAAAACTATATTCGTTACCATCTTTTCACTGATCTGTGGTTTTTCTCTCCCTTCCCCTGCAGGATACGCTATTGCTAATGCAGCCGCAACGGTCACAGCCACTCAGCTCAAACAAGCGGTCACTATGGGACAAGATTTAGCAACGTATGCAGCGTATGAAGCCTACCCCGCCTTTGCGATCACTGCACGCAGCGATGGCTACGGAGCATTTTAATCCTCTCTTTAATCGCATTCCCTTAAATCGAGCACAGGCAGGAAAAAAGTTATCTTGGTCTGATAATTCCTACAGCCTCATGAGTTTAAACTAACCTTTCACCTAAAGTTAGATTTTAGTCAAGAGCTTCATTCTTGTAGTTCTTTAGTTTCCTAACAGGATGTTGAGGGGGACAATTATAAAAAAAAAATCTCTCAAAATCAGATTTTCACACTAGAAGACACAATCTAAGCCCATAAAATGAGTGGTTCTCAGGTGTGTGTGTATATACAGGCATATATACATATATGTGCCTATATAAGCATGAGCATATATATGCTATATATGCCTATAAGCATATATTTATGTATATATACATACACACCATTGTGTGTGCGTTTACAAGCAACAACCTGTGCTAAAAATAGTTGGTCCTATGGACATTGTGACATAGGCCTGGGGAAGGATGAGGGTGTCTCCAGCAAGCCCTTCTGTGCATCGGTTCACCCCAGAATTTCTCAAGCGAGTCAAAGCACAGGTGTAATGAAAGGCTTCCCTCTGGCTGCATAGAGGTCTCTGGTTTGCCCCTTACTGCCTCTGAGCATCCCGTGCTACCAGCGTTGTGGGGATGTGTTCAGACATCTCGAGAACCTTTTAAATTCACACTGGCATAGCCAGGGAAAAAAAATATTCGTCACAAACACGTCTGCCCAGCCTAACAAGCTGGTTTGCATGCTGTTAAACACCAATTTGATTTTTAAAGCAGGAGACAAGCATTCAGCAGAATTTGTCCTCTTACTTTGCTACTTCCCAGCCATACCTACAAGCCATGAAACAATAAACAAAGGCATATTTTTTCCACCTCCCTTCCAATGGCATATCCAGCGAAAGACAGGCAAATTTTTAGAACTATTAAGGTTGAGCATCAGAAAAGTGCTATTCATTATTGCCAATTCTCTATTTAATTAGAGCACAAGAGCTCACAGCCATGGCCCAGTAATAACAGGCACCTCTACAGGAATAAAATAAAGTACAAGGAACCTTTTTGACAGGATGGCAAGATCCCTGCCTGGCTATCAATGCTGCTTTACACACTAAAGCAAGGCTGTTGGCAATTCTTGCAAAAATTAATTCAGTGGAAGCGGGATCACGTCAACAGTAAAGGCGCCTTTTGTTTTGGAGAGCATCAGTGTTGATGTTGTGTTTGAACACTTTGGGGATGCTGAGAGCATCCTTTGGTTTACAGCAGGATGGCACTATCCACTTATTTTTGCCATTAGTTTGAGGCAGGAGTAACAATGCTCTAGAGATATAGGAGAAACCCAATGCTAGGTAACTACAGCAGGCATGTTAATCCTGTATCATTTATCCTACACAATAATGCACATTAAGAAAGCTTGAAACTACTCAGTTTAGGACAAAAAATACCTTCTGGGGGAGAATTTACAACCGGGTCGACGATGCCCATCGATTCTAACAGATCTGGCCCAAAATTGTTCATCCAATCTAGATGATGTAACGTGGTATCGTACAAGCTGTTTCAAGCAGAGCTTTTCCCATGCATCCCCAAAGCTGTAAAAAAGCACGATGGTCTGTGACAAGGTGTTGACTACTAGGAGTCTTTCTATTCTTATGTTTCAGCTTACTCGGTTTTGCTAGGAAAGGAACAAAAAGCACAAAACCTGTATAGTTCGCAGTACTATTAGACCCTTTCTATTTATAGTGTCACTCATTAGGGTGGTTGTAAAAGGTATTACAAGTCCTCTGTGATTGCTCCTCAGCACACTTGGCTTCACAGAAAACGACAAACCTGTTTGCAAAGAGCGAAATAACTGAGAGTATGGTATCGTGACTTTATTTTCTCTTCTATGTCTTTTAAGTCATGTTTGACTGCCAATGAGTAACATATCCACGCGTCTCTCTCTGAAAGACTACATTTGGCAGAAAGCATTTCTCACTTTCCATGTTCAGTAACTTTAGTCTGCTTTTTCAGCTATTTATATAAGTTCAGAAAGATGCCAAAGAAAAGGGCAAGAAGCAGTATTAAAAAGTGTGTGCGTAAAGCACTTATTTTTGTACGCGTAGTACAATATTTGTATAGAGTTTTAACACTATGAAGTGTAGTGAAAAATCATGCCATCCATTTACTGGAGGACAATCGTGTATGTTTAAACAGAATGAAGTGAAAAATGACATCTCAATCATCCGTTACGTGGAAATTATAACCCGTATTAAATTCTGTGAAGCGAGTCTGTAATTCTAGAATAATCCAAGGACATTAACTGGGCTTTGAAATATTATTAAAACTTTTTAAACCAACATACATGCCTCCGTCTTTTGATACTTGAAGTTTTGTCTACAAGGGTCATCCTGTGCATGGTGAATAAGAGCATACTTTGCTCTATAGGGATCGATTTGAGGTCACACAGACAAGGTCACAAGCTGCTTGGCAATGTCGAGAGTTTTCAACATGCACTCTGGTGACACTTGGCATGCGCATGCAGCACAAAATCAGCAGTGTTCTACTTCTTTTTTAAGTGAAAAATCAAGTTTATTTTTTTCCCACCACCTCTTTGGCCAATATTTATTTATCTATCAATGCTGCAGGAATAACTTTTGCTATAAATTTATTACAACGGTGATACCTTTGTTCTTACCTGATCCAAATGGACATGTCTTGGGGGTGATATTAAGAGCAAGACAGCAGAGGGCAGAAATAAGGAGCTAGATGTGGTGATACATTACTTAGGGCTGCAAGGGATTGGCACCACCATGGGAAGAGACTGTTGCCTGATCATGATGGGTAGATCAGCTACAGCCCTCGTCGTTTTAAGGAGATAAGGACCTGCTACTTGGAAAAGCATCACAGCCAACTGACTAAGCAACGGCAATTCCTGCTTCCAGGCCCAGTACAAGGGATATTAACTCTCAGTTCTGGTTTTACATCTTTCCAGAGTGATCCTGACCCCATGAAATGGGGGAAGATTTAGTACCTTGCTACTGATAGCACACAATACTCAGCCAAAGGCCTCCCCACCCAGCCAAAATAGCTTTCACCAAAATAGCCTGACATTGTTCTCACAGGCTTACAAAGAGGTCAGCTGTGTTCTGGGCTTTAGCAAGAACAGCAGCTCTGCCAGCTCATTATTTTACCTCATTAGCTTTTCCTGATGTCCTGCTTTCATTTGCTTTGAAACCAGGGCAATGGTAAAATTCATTTCTGTGCCTTAAGTTTTACCCTCTCAGAGAACTGAGATTCCCTCTTTGCTCAGCAGCAGCTGGCCACTCAGTTTCAGAGAGCAAGAATGATTTTTCAAGAAATCTCAAACCCCCAACCCAACTTAAAAAACATTGTTTCCCATTGATAAAGGCACGGGTTACCAGCGGCTAGCAAGACAAAGCCAAAAAATATATCCATCTTCTACGAACAAGGCTAAGACATGTTTGAGACATAAGTGATGAGAAGATTAACAGTCCAGAAAAAAAATCATCAGAAGGGCACAAGTTTGACTGCTTGCAGGACAAAAACTGCATTCTCCTCTGTTCCTCCATCCAGTTCTTTCCTGGAGGTCACTACAGCAAAGGGCCACACATCCGAGGTGTAAAGCAAGAATAAAACATGCCTGAGGATCACACAACCTTTGGAGCTGGACAGGCCCTGAAACATCTCACCTGGAAACTATCTCCCATGTCCCACTGACCCCCCTCACTAAAAGCCTATGGGCTGTCTCCAATGACTTTCAAGAGGCATTGCTTAGTCTTTGAGGCTGCATGGCTCAATTTTCCCACTAGGCCAGCTAAATCTCCTACAGACCATCCCATTTCATCTCCCCATCACACACCTACCCGGATTTCCCTTTCAGGGGGAAAAAAAAAAACCAAAACCCACCAACAACTCTGAAGCATGGTGTTTCAGTCAGGGACCACAAATCACTGCTGTTCATGTGCTGCTTGGGGTCAGCCTGGCTCTGGTGCTGCTCACGGTGCAACACAAAGGTATGGCAAAGGATGCTCTTTTCTTTCAAGAGCTGGAAATTATTGTGTCCCCTCAAACCTTGGACTTGCCTAAAACTGCAGTTCTCAGCCACCCTTTTTTGAAGTTTCGGTGGAGGGCATTAGGCAGCCCTGACCCACCAAGCTCTCTCTTTTGGGGAGTGCTTGAGGTGGGCTATCCTCTCCCCAGAGATGCCCTGCTATCTCACACACCCCTCCTTGTCCAGAACCTTGCTCTGATGTGACTCCAACTACCTGCAAGAGAAGGGGGGCTGTGCACATCCAGATTTTGGGCTGGTTAAGGGAAACACTGGAAGAGAGAAGTTCCTTGGTCCCCAGATCCATCTCGGGCACATGCAGCCCCAGTTGTGAAGATTTTAAAAAGAAAATAGACACTGGTGGACCTGTAGATAGATTGCACACAAAAATCCTGCGTGGGACACATGCAAGCAGCACCAACCAAACACAGGCTCAAAAAGAGCTTAAAAGCCTGCACCAAAGCCCAGAGAGAGCAAAGAGATTCTCATTTTTCCCCACAGTGCCTTGGGTCAAATCCAAATTTAGCATCTCTTCTGCAGCTCCAAATCCTGTTGGTAATTTGTGAGGGATGAGATGTTGTGCAGGAGGAAAGTCACGGCATACTCAAGTTTTGCCAAGTGCCTGCAAATGTGTGCACCTCCCGGACAAGTTTCTAAATTTCATATTTATGTCCCACGATTAAAAAAATAAAAAAAAGAAAAAAGAAAGAGATGGAGCATTTACTCATGTCCTGGGCATGTAGGCAAGGCACAAATAGCTACACATTGAAGGAGAGCAGCCTGAGAGAGGGAAGAGCAACTGTGATGAGTAATGCTAAATTTAACGGCTGGCAAGCCGCCCAAATTCCTGAAAATTTTTTTCGAGGCTTTGGCTGTGCTCAGTGGCAAGCTCGTTCTCGTGTAAAACGGCACTGGCATCTAGCGGCTGCTGGGTTTGGCCACAGCACCTTCCCAGACAGCACGCAGGCAGGAGGGAGGGACTGTTTGTCATGGTACAAGAACAGCAGGTGACACAGCCACAAGGCCGTCAAGGGTAAATAAAACAGAGGGCTCTTCTCAGCAGCCTTTCTCACGCCGCGCCACTCAGGGCTGCTGAATTTTCTAGGCACTACAGAATTACAAAGAGTTCCTGATAAACTCCCCCAAACCTTCAAAAATCCTTGGCCCACTGCTGAAAAATAAATAAGTTTGCTACAAGGTATTTCACAGGGGACCTGCTCTTAGGCACCATTGGAACTCTCCAGATACCCTAATTCTGACTCTCAACACCTCTTCTCCCATGAGAAACACCAGCTTCTTAAAAAGTCTCTTTTGTGGCCAGATGCTCCTGTTTTAGAGAGTAAATATTACCCACGGGCATTTAAACTGTGCAATTCAGTTTTGCTTGCATAAACAGGTTCAGAATGAGCACTACTAAAAAAAAAATCAAGTTAGTGTAATGCAATAATACAAACAACATTATCTAAAAAACAGCAAATAAAATATCTCAGTGCTACCTGAGGAAAAAATGAACCATTATTTCCTCTTTCCCAATGTATTTCTTCTAGGAAAACAGGAGCATTCACAATTAATTCTAGTTTACCCAGTGTAAGAAAAACAAGTAGAGAGAGAGTGGTTGTTATATTGGGATTCATTAGGCAGCACCATTTTCAGAGCAATAAGTAGCTTCTGTGTTTCATAAAGAGGATCTGATCCTGTTTTAAGGGGTTGAGATGTGTTTCATGATGCACGGTCTCACAAGAAAACATGAGCATAGTGGAAAAAAATCTTTGCAAGAAACTTTTTGGGTCATTTTGCAACTCAAACGTTGCTGTGCTGCCCAAGCCTGTCCCATGGCACAGTGGGATGCTGGAGCAGCATCCTCTGCCGCTGCCCGTATCCCACACACACTGCTGCTGCCATCAGAGTGATTTTGCAGATGAGGGCAGGGCAGACAGGCCAGCTGGGGGAGTTGTTAGGAAAGGACATCAAAAGCATCTTCAGGGATTTGATTCTCAGTGTAGTTCTTCCAAAGCTCTCGCTTTCCTGACTCAATATTGTGATTACTTTGAGCTCCTCCGGATGGGGATCTCTGAGACTGATTGCAGCTGGTTTAAAATGAATAATTCATTCTTTCCTACTGATTTTAAAGAGAGGCAAAATTGTCTGACTAGCGATGCTCCCAAGAATTAAAGAGGCTGCCTTCAAAATTGGTACACATTGTTGGAGCTTATTAAACATTTACATTTGTTTAGCTGTAAGACACTACAAGAATCCTAAATCCAGATCTGAAAGTTATCTTTTCTTCTCCCTGTGCCCCCAGATTTACCACTTACAGAGGCTGGAAGACGCTTGGGGACAGTGGAGAAAACCCCAATTACAGCTCTCCACGGCAGCACTGATGGGAGGTACCTCAGGACCTGTCACCAGAACTGGGTCAAGGCAGCTTTCTCCAGCCAGCTCCTGAAAACCCCAGGAGAAGATCCTCTCACTTCCTGGGGACCTTTCTGTGCTGTGCTTTGATGAAACCCTCCAGTGCCACATGGGTTGAAGGGGCACCACAAGCCCTTCTGGCAACCCATCTGTAGGTGATTCAGGCTTTGGCCGTCTGCGCTGGGTAGCCCTTCATCCAGCCAGAGTCTGCTCACCTTGTGTCCTTCCTGATGCTAAAATGAATCTGGCTGAGGTCTGTCCAGAGTTGACTTACCCACAGCTTTAATTCGTAAGTTCGGTTCTTACTGATTTCCATCTGCAGTACCTGAAATATAAACTCACTGCGATGAAATCCAGCCCTGCTCTGGTTGGATGTCATCATCTTTTACTAGCAGCTGCAGGTTCTACCTCACCAACAGGTCCCTCCCAAAATCCCCATCTTGCACATGGCCCCTGGTGTAACCCCAGTGCCCTCCCATGACACCCTCCTACTGAAACAACCTCTGGCACATGTAAGCATCCTTATTTTTCATCATGTTGGTGTGTCCCAAAGTGATATTTAGAAAGTAAAATGCCATGTGCTGGCCTTTGCTGTGATCAGAGGGCTAGGCAAGAGCTTAACACAAGGACAAGAAGAGTGGACAAAGTCAGCCTCAAAGTCTTTCCTGCCCAGTATCCTGTCTCTGAACCATACCACAGATGCATGATGCCTCCAGGTCACAAAATCAGAGCAAACATATGTAGTTCTTTCAGGAACTCAGTGGCCTCCAGCCCATCTGCAGTTTCTTGGGTCACTTGTAATTATTTGAGAGCTTTCAGAGGGCTTCTCTTCCAAAAACTTGCCCAGTATCCCCTTGAAATGACAGAAACCCACACATGCTGGGCAGCACTGAGACCACCTGGCACACGGATCAGTTCAAAAGTGGTATTTGTAAAAGAGAAGAACACAGTCTAGCAGGAAAAAAACCCAAACTTGTTAGCTGCTTCAATATTTTATCTTGTGAGTGGCTGACCTCTGAGGTAGGACCAAATACAGCCACTCTTATCAAGCACCTGTGAAACAGAGATCACTGGTTTGTGGAGAATTATGCACAATTTGCTTCAAATGACTCTGTTGCCCCACCACTGCCCATAGTCTATGGCAGATTTTAACTCAGAGGATGAATCCTCTAAATGCCCTACACCAGAATGGTGAAATGAAATAATAGTCAAACCTTTCCAATGAGTGTCTATCCTATTTATCCCTTTACCATCCTAAGAGGTCAGCTTTGCACTTCAGGCACCATTAAGGAATCTTCTCTTCTGATGCCTTGTGAATTCACAGTTTTATGGACTGAGCTCAGTTTTATGGACTATTTTATGGTCTGGATTGGCTCCAGATATGCATGAATTCTCTTGAAAAGTGCTTATTCACAATCAATAAGCACTTGTATAATGACTAAAGAAAAACAGTTACGTCTTTTGTTACAGTAAGAATCAACTGCAATGAGATCTGGCCAGGATGGGACCTGCTTGGATGAGAATCACATTGGACAAGTGAGACTGAATTGCAAGTAAAACTCACAACTTTGCAGAAAGTCGAGCTTTGCACAGCAAAGGATGACCAGCAGCATTTGAAGGACAGCAATGATGTACAGAGTCACGTAAAAACCTCCCAGGTGTGCATTGTGAACGTTGCAGATATCAAATCTACTGCTCAGAGGAATCAATTGCTTTAATAAATGTGATAACCTACAGGTTTGTGATTTCAAATGTTGAAGACATGCCTTCAAATGGAACAAAGACAGCAGGACTATTAAACGGCTTTTTCCTGTTGTGTCCGAAGTACCGTATCCTGTAGACGCCTGGCTCTGTGCCTTGAGGGATGTACCATTTAATATTCACATTGCTCAGACCAAGAAATCCTTTGGTCCAGTAAAACCTAGCAGACAAACCAAAAATTGCAGTCAGCAAGAAAATCCACTTTTCATTAGTTCTGGTATCCCAAGAGCTCACTAAGTGGAATGAGATGAATGCACTCCAGTTAAGTGTATTTTAAGAGCTTCTTTTGGCCTTTCCTCACGTATTTAGGCTATCAGAGCAGCAACCAAGCAGCCAACCCAAAACCCAGCAGGTCTGAAAAATATCTGATAATGTGGGAAAACGTGTCAGTGGTCCTTTCTGCAGATTAAGACTACTTCTGCCAACGTGTTCTGATGTTCTCAACTCCATATCATAACCTCATACAACATTATATAAATTTTATATATATATATATATATATAATTTCCTCCTTAGGCAGGAAAAGGCCAAACAGCTCCTGCCTTATCAGCAGAGGTATTTAAGCATCTTGGAGACATCCAAAGTATGACCTTTCTCAGAAAGGAAAATAAGATGTCTAGATCCCCATCTTTCCAGCATCATGGCATCACATTCTTCAAATGTTGCACTTTTATACATTTTTCATCTTCTCAAGTGACATATTATTAAACATTTTCAGTGCTCCTGGTCAAGATTTTGGGAAATCTGTTGGAGTTTTTGAAAAGGAGGGAAGAAGGCAGGGCTACATATCTGGGTAATAAAATGCTATCGTTTCCCTTTCTAAAGTAGGGAATTTGACTGGAAAAAGTGACATCAACGAAAGTGACAAGGTAACATAGTGCAAGTGTCGGAGGGCAAGCACTTAGAAATGCAGAGCTCCAAGTGCAAGAAAGAACCCATCTTCCGTGTTGGGACAGCCGGAGTCCTGGCTAATTGATTAAGTTTGGAGAGCAGCTGGTTGCACTTGGGCAGGGAGAATTATGCCCAATCACAAGTTCATCATAAATCCAGAGGAAGTCTTTCCCGATTAAGCCAAGCTGTCAGAAACTTTGCCTCTCTGACCTCAGAGGTTACGTGTTTGCACTGGGATGTTGCAAGGTCAGAAGGCCCCAAGCCAGACGTTTTTCAGGGTCCAGTTTCTCACAAATTGGTTGCAGAGGCAGATGGGGAAATATCTGGTTTTATTCAAACAGGGAGTAGCTTGAAACTGAATGGTTTGACAGAAGATGCCTTTGCTATTCCTATTCCATGTGCTGACTTCTGGTGTAGCTGTGAAAGGTGACACCAGCTTGGCTGCTTAGTGGACATTTTTCCAACCTTAACTTTGCTTCATTACAAACTTTTTTTAAATTGTTGACTGTTTCTACTTTATGATGCACAGCAAAGCTGAAGAGTTTTTTCCTATGAAAAACCTGCTGCGGTGAACCTCTTGTATTTTCTATTTGGTATCTTGTTTATTAACAAGGTACAGCAGGTAGATGGATGTATGCTACGAACAAGTTGGACCACGAGACTCCTGTAATTCTTGCTCTTCCTTCTACCTTGCCCAAAATTATAAGACTCCATTGCAGAAGCTAGACCCAAGGGGAAGACTGATTTTTGTGCTCTTGACAAGTTAACCACCCAAATATGGACCTATCCATCCCCAGAGAACATCACCTGCAGGGACAAGACCAACCTACAGTTGGGAGCCCTGAAACGAAGCCCTTCAGGTTAAACTCAGATTACTCTATGGAGTCTGTGGAACAATGAAATGTGGTCAGGGCACCTACCTGGTGTCCCAGGAGACATCGTTCTGTACCACGTGCCACCTATCTGAAGTGTTGTCATATCTCTCCACTGTCAGAAAGTTGTGTTCATTCTGAAATAAAAATGACAGAGTTAGCTAAATGTTTAATGGACTGGCATGTCTCTACTTTTCTGTGTAACACTGAACTGGAGAAGGGACTATGCTTCTATGTGCTTTACTGGCAAAAGCAGCAATTACTAGCAAAAAATGCTTATATTTCACTGCCAAAGCGCAAATTTGTAATAACAAATTGTGCAGAGAATGAATAGAGAACTTGATCATAAAAAGGAATGGATGGGTGAGGTATTGCTATCACTGTCTATGCAAGAAACTGTCCCAGCAAAGAAAAAAAGCACTGGACGCATGTGATCTTACACCTTCTAACATCGAAATGTCAATGATTAAAATGCATCAGGCAGAGGCAGTAACTGAATATTCACTAAGCCCAAACATCTCCAATTCCAGCATCGCTGAGTCCTATTTACCGCGTTCTCTGCAGAGTTCCTGGGGTTCGCGCCTACAAAAGTTACTTCAGCAACTTCTCCCTGTGGGGGAAATTGAGATGTATATGAAACACTGAGGAGCACATTGCACGCTAAAAACATCCTTTGAAGATGCTGTATGAGTTTTTTAGTGGGTTGGTTGGGGGTTTTTTGTGGGTTTTTTTGTGGTTATTTTCAATTATTTATAATTTCGCTTGCTGCAGTAGCATTTGACTATTTATACTGTGAACTGGTATTCTGTCCCTTGCCATTTCACTTGTCCTACTTGATGGATAAACTCCATCAGAGCACAGAAGATTTCTGTGTAAGAAAGAGGGAGAGAAGTAGGTGAGATTTTTAAGTGTCTCCCTGCCTCCTTCCTACCTTACTGCTGGAGACAGCAATGAGATGAAAGTCCTTGTTCTGAACACCTCATCTAAATTTTGAGCACTGAAGACTCAACCCTTTCTGATATTTCTATTTCATTTAAATTCCATAACAGAGGCATCAAAGGCGACCTCGTTTCTGCTTGTAAAGAAATCACTGTACAATATTTGCCTATTTAATGACCAACTGTTATTTTATGTCGAAGCAGAAGGGGAAATCTCTGTTGCGTATCAAGGGCTTTTGTTTTCCCCTTCATTCACTCATTTCAGTCACCTTCAGTACAATGACATTGACATGGAAACACTCTGTCTCTGTCCTTTCAATGATGCCCACTAAAAGCAACAAGACCTTTTTGGTCCGAGAGCACCATGACCCCTTAGAAAATAGATTTTTTTAGATGAGGGGTAAGAATTTAAGGACCATTTCCGAAACAAGTTTTAGCAAATCCTTGACGCTCTCACCGTTCGATATTGTTGTCTCACTTCTTGGAGCACATCCCCAAATGTCTTATTCACCGGTGCACGATCGACAATGAGAGAAGGTACCAAGGTCAGGTTACCTATGTTAAAAAGTGGGGGCTCTGGGCCACGTGGCAAATCCTGAACTGTATTCTGGGAGAGAGAAGATGTGTTCATTATACATACAAATAGATAATGAGTATCTCTGTGAAAAATCCTATCACTGCTGTGGCTCCTTATGCAAGTTTATTGCTTAAGTAGACTTTAAGAACAAGGGCAATAAAGGGAGCGTAAAAACAAGCAAGATGATCTTCATCTACGCTCTGCATGCAGGAGCAATTCCCGCAGGATATCTGCTGCCCTGTTGCTGAGGTGCCCAAATCCACCCATGACTTCAGGAGGCAGCACCCACCCATCAGTCCTGCACGTTAACAAGGTCCACAGATACAATGGTAATGAATGTTGTCATATACAGCAGAAACGTGGCAGACTTTTTTTCCCCTTGATAGAAAAGCAGCATCTTCAGGCCATGCTGAAAAGTTGGAGGTACCCATTTCCTAAACTTTGAACTGAAAACCCCCCAGAATTTCTCAAGTAGTATGAGACCCCTATTACAGGAATTATTTTCATACAACATGAGGACTTCTCAAAGCCCTTTCTTACAAGAAAAGAGAGGGTAACAGTCATGCAGCCTCCCTGAGGAACAAATACAGCCATCACCATTCACAGGATTTAGTCTCGAGTAGCATGTGGCATATACAAAATTTTTATTACCGTAGCAATAGCCCTTGCAAGTCCTCTGTACAGTTGAATATAAGCAGAAAGCGTGTGTGGCCCATAAATAGTCGATGCAGCTTCATATCGTTGAACCTAGCAAAGGACAGATTTGGAAACAGAGGGTTTGAGGGACTCTTGAGCAGTTTATACAGCTCATCCTACTGCACCAATACAAGATCAGCACTACCCGCAGGGGTTTATTTACTCCCTTACTGGTAGGAAGACAACCTAACAACTTGCCTAAGTATTTCTGCGGCAACTTCAGGTTACTCTTCATTCTCCAATCCATCACAAACAGGGAGGAGCAGTTGTTACCCTTCTAATTATCACAGCTCTTTTGTTCTTTTAAATGCTTATAGTGTAGGTCATCTCCTCTCCAACTTTTTGGGTCGGACAACCCCAGTTCTTCCAACCTTCCCTGCCAGCTTCGGGTTTCTAAACCCAAGGAGTCCATCTGTTGGCCCACATCTTCCTCAAAGGACAGCATCTAGTGTGCCTTCTGTGGAGGACCCTTAAAACTGGGTCTTGCAGGCTGTACTGCGGTCTTTTCCACAGCAACATGGCTCTGCAATTCATGTTCACCTTACAACCCTACAGCTCCAAATGTCTCTTCTGGCAATTTTGTCACCTTATGAAGATAATTTCTAATTCATGCAAGACATCAGAAGATTACTAAAATGGAACCTGAACTCACAGGATCTCCCTTCAGTGTATCTGACCATTTCCACATTAAAGCATCCATACATACTCTCTAGCTACAGTCAGAAAACCACAAAGGTCTTTGGACCACGTCGTCTAGGCCAGAAGAAACAAGGAGGTCTCATTATTTCTGCCACAGATTCTTCAGCTTTTTCTGGCAAAGCTTTTGTGTCTAAACATACATAATTTCACATGAATTATCATTTCGTATAGCCAAAAGCTGAACTCAGTTAAACACGTTCAATCTGCAATTTAAACATTTACCTGGTATTCTTCGTAGGTGGTAATGTAATGGGTGTAGACATTGCACAGACCTGCAATTACTACATCCATTGCTGGTGTACCATGAGAATCAAATTCCTAAGAAAGGAAATAAATAACTTATCTTGTAACAGCTGCTTAATGCACAACTATGTTGTTGTTGTTGTTATTCTTATTTACCAGGACAGAATACAAAGTTACAGTGGGGAGGGTGCTGGATATTCTGGAACGCAACCTATAATACAACCAGTAATACAGGTGTTAATTGCCTCTATTAATGTCTTATATTCACTTCCCAAATAAAAAGAGGATAAAGGACTTCGTACTCCAGTAAATTCAATAAACTTAGGGAGGTTTTTTTGGAAGCTGATGTCTGTATAGTCCCCAAAAAATTGGTGGTATAACTATGTGAGACAGGATCAGTGAGCTATGGGGACAGCATCTGAGATTAAGATGGTATTCAGGCTGCTGTTGAGAATAGAATGTATCAGTCAGGACAATGGAAAAAATACATTTGTCATTTTTTTCCAGCTGTCCTCATGTTGCAAAATCTTGGTAGGGTTTAAGGAGCTCAACCCTTCCATTCCAGAGACAAAACTCCTGCTAGCATCAGTTATGCCTGAATCCCAGTTGAATTAGCTTGTGTTGGCTTAATGGACTGAATGTCGATTGGTTTGCTTCTTTTGGGGAGGATATTAATTTCTCCTACATGTCAGTAAGCACATGCAAATGTGTCTGAAGCAACTGCAAGAAGGAAACATCTGTAAGATATGAGACCCGTGCCCCAGCTGAGAGGAGACAAGGGAAAAATAAGAAGAGTCAAGAAACATGAACTTCCAGATGCGCTGTGCTTTGGAGAAACATCTTCCTCAGCAACTTACTCTTTTAACAGCTTCCCGTAGCCTGCGTCCAGACATGGTCCTAGGGGCAATAAGGGACAACATCAGTGTCCAGAAATATAGAGAATTAAAGCAGGAATCGCTGGCTGGACACACAGCCCATCATCAGAAATTCACATAGCACTCATAGCACTGCTCAGCATCCCTTAAGTGTTCTCGGTGATGAGCTCAACCCAAACACTTCAAAACATTTCATGTACACCATCACAGTCAGGGTGAGGCTGGAGGCACCCCAGGGCAGAGTGGGGCAGGAAAAAAGATGCTAGAAATAAATCATTAACCAATTCAGGTTTTCACCATTGTACCACCAACAGTCAGTGCAATTCATCATTACAGAGCCTGCATCATGGAAGGAAAAAAAACGAAAACAGCAACAACAACCACCAAAAAAATCACCAAAAATCACACAAAAAACCAAACCAAAGTTAACAAGGTCCTTTCATTTCATTGAAAATTAATTTTGCAATGAACAGTTGAAATTATTTAAGAAGTTTGTTTGCATCTCACTCATTCCCATGGGTAGTTTACAGAACAGAGAATAAAATGGGAAGTCCAAAGTAGACCATATACAAGAAAGTACTTGCAGGGGATATACATGTGTAGTGCCTGCATAGCTATCATATATTTGGGACAATTTTTAGCTTACACTCCCTTTCTACCTGCATGCAGAACTATCATAGGTGGTTTGAATGAAATGCTGCCGGCTGCAATACATAGAAAAAGTGCAAAGAAATACATACGTCAACTCTCCAGGAACAGCAATGATTGCCAGCGATCCAATGGCAGCAATCTGAACATCCACGATGTCAGGGTGCCATGGGTGAGGCCGAGTCATCTGAGGTGGAAAAAAAAGTGGATATGACTATTATAGGTTAATAGCAAAAAATATTGCTTTTTGTATTGGAGTTCCCAACACAAAAAGGACATCGAAGTGCTGGAGCAGGTTCAGAGGAGGACCACGAAGATAATCAGAGGGCTGGAGCACCTCTCCTATGAAGACGGGCTGAGAGAGTTGGGGTTGTTCAGCCTGGAGAAGAGAAGGCTCCAGGGGGACCTTATAGAGACCTTCCAATACCTGAAAGTTGTCTATGAGAAAGCTGGGGCAGAAATGTTCACTGGGGCGTGTAGCAATAGGACAAGGGGTAATGGTTTTAAACTAGAACAGGGTAGATTTAGTTTGGGTATTAGGAAAAAGCCCCTCAATATGAGGGTGGTGGATCACTGGGACAGGTTGCCCATAGAGGCAGGGGAGACCCCATCCCCGGAGGCATTTAAGGTCAGGCTTGATGGGGCTCTGAGCAACCTGATCTGGTGACATTGTCCCTGCTCACTGCAAGGGGTTTGGACTGGATGATCTTTAAAGGTCACTCCCAACCCAATACCTTCTATGATTCTATGAAATGTTTCCCTTCCTACAGTAATAAATCGGGCAAATAAATTTACTCAGTAGACAGACACCCAAGAAGGTGTTTTACCTCCTTATGCACAGAAAGTTGTCTGGCCATAGCAGACAGATAAGACACACGTACATACTATGGATAAGGCAAAAAAAGGTCTTGCTGGAGGGGTAGCTTTAAGTAAAGTAGGTAAATAAAGTCAGGGTAGCATCTGCAAATCCCACACCTGCATGGGAGAAGGACAGTGTTAGGATCAATAAGGTTGATCATCTGCCCAGGACAACAATATGAATGTATGGAATTCCAGAGCCCGATGGCAGTGGGAAATGAGAGTTACCTCTTTGTTAGCAGAGTATACACACCATCAGTTATGATGCAGAGGGACGGTTTCTAAGTCATCCAGAGGGTGATGCTCAGGGAACCCCAGAAAGAAGCCACCCTCTACCAGCCCTGACTTCAAACTGCCCTATACCAGGGGCCATACAGTATTTGGACCCAGCAGCCAAAACACACACTACAGGGGCATTTAACTTCAAAAATTATAGCTAGATAAAAAAGAAGAAACCTGTTAAAAGGAAGTTAAGAACAAGAGCTCGAGGGTGACATGGCTCCAGCAAATGAAGTGCAAAATCCCACTCCGGCAAGCTAAAAAGATTTTAGTGAAAAGCAATTTACTGGGGGAAAAACATGAATGACAAAACCTCATGAAGTACATCAGAGGTAGGAGGCCTGCCAAAACATCCGTAAAAGGCTGCTCAAAAGGTGATAAAGTCATAAAAATAAAAAGTAATTTATTCTCAGTAACACCATCCTGGACAGAGCAGGCAGGGTGAGAGGAGGCTCTGCGCTGAGACCTCTTTTTATGCAAGATGAGCTGAGGAGCTGATTGAACACAAAGCAACAGTAGGAAAAGCTTTAATAGACTGATGAAAGGAATAACAACGAACTGCCTCATCCAGATGGCATCCTCTAAGTGCTTTAAAGGACCTTGGACATGATCCCACTCCTCTCTACCGCATTTGCTTTAATGCCAAGGGAACAGCAGGTGGAAAATGAAGCATCAATTGTCTTTTAAAGTTTTAAGTAGGATTTGGGGAAAGTTCAGTATGAACAAACACCAAGTCCTGCCCAGGACAGAGCAGCCCCAAGTATGAGGATGTGCTGGGACTGATGGGGCAGCAGCTCTGCAGCAGAGGCTGGTGCTGAGAAACAGCCCTTCCTTGTGTGAGTAGGATGTCCCTGGGATGGGGACCCAAGCAGGGGATCTCCATCCTTCGGGACTGCTCCAACTCATTTGGAGCTGAAGCTGCAGTGTTGGTCATATTGGGAGCAGGGTTGGACCAGTGACCCCCACTCCAGGGTACCTCCAGCCTGAGCCTGGTGTGATTCTACCTGTGGTTAAGTCCTGCACCAGTTGATGTTATGGTTCACAGAACTGTCAGACATGTGCATAAATAGAGAAGCAGAGAAATCAGCAGAATGTTTCCAGAGAAAGTCAAAGCACAGTTGAAACCTTTGAAGACACCACTGAGGAGGTGGGTCAGTTGACACAGTCCCCAGAGTTTCCAAAAGGCACCACGACAAGTTTCTTCATTTTACCTCTCCAGTGCTGAAGAGGATGGGCTTGGGCTCATGGCAGGCTTTGGTTTCATTGGATGGCTCTCCCAGTAGCTGGTCACGGATTCCATCCCAAAATGGGTCCCCTTCTACTGAGCCTTGAGGGGGAAACATCTTTTAAACACTGTCCCTTCAGCTGCAATCGAACAGAAACCTCATTTATTACCCCCTCCCTACTTAAGTCGATAGGAGATTGCTCAATTGATTCTGACTATCCCTTTGCTGGAGTGGTTTGAAAAGCTGAGCTTTAGCCCAGCCAAGGTCCATCTTGGCAGCCTTCAAATAATGAGAACAAACGCGAAAGCTTGCACCAAAGTCAGGTCCTACTTCTCCTGTCTCCCCTGCCAGTAATCTCCTTCCTTCACAACACGGTCATATCCTTCTCCAGAAGCTTTCTGACAAACATAGGCAAGCTTGCAAGAGAGCTGTAAGATCACACCTTCCTAAGAAACATCCCTTTGCAGGCTGTGGTTCAACCAGCCATTGATGTTCTCAAAAGGCTCTGGGGGTTTGAACCTATTTGGGGGGTGTCCCATGTCCTCCCCATTTGTACAAAGCCATATCGACATCTGCTCACTAAATTACCTTGTGTGAAGTTGAAAGCCCCTACTCCATCAATAGTCCCCGCAGCGAAGCTGTATCCTAAGGCTGGTTTACATGTTTTAACCTTAATCAGAAAGGGATAAAAATGAAAAGGAGATATTTTAAAACCAGTTGCCCTCTGCATGCCAAGTCCTGCTATGAGAATACAACATTTCTTCCTTCCTTATGCTGCATCCTGGGAGATCCCACTCTTACCGTGTGCGTGGCATTGAGCTCCACCGAGACATCACTCATGTTCACCCACTGGTGAGCTGTGCTGAGGGGTCCTGTAACTTCCTGGGAGGCTTTTTCATACAGCTCCTAAGGGACACACAAGGTGAAAATCCTTGAGGAGGAAGAAATCAGGAACACAGCTCTTCTGAGACTCAGCTATAACAATGATTTCTTCATTCTGTTGACACTTTTCAATGGTCTCTTCCAGCTGTTAAAGCAAGAACGTATTTCCCAAGATCCTTTGTTTCCATCACCCCATCTCTACAGTCTGCATACCCTGAGTCCTGTACTCTCTCTGTTGTAAGTGACACAGGGAGGACACTCTGTGCTCAGCAGTTTCACGTGTGCCTTTCTTTTTACAGCCGAGGATGGCAACATCTTAAAACAACCAGGAGAAATTTTTTCTATGAGAAAGATGCACTTTGTTGCCTTCATTGTTTCGAAACACATGGACTTTACAACGCATTTGCTGTACAGCTGACAGATAAGATCGTTCATCTCTTCAGTGAACGGTTTTCTGGTGCACATGCCTCGAGTTGGCACAGAGAAAGCGTTGCCAGAAGTTATACAGGTTTAGTAATGCTCCTGTAACTGCAGGAAGGAACAGGGGACGCAGCCTTTGAAGGCCCAGCGTCTGCCGTGTTAAAAAGGACAGCAATGTTTTCCTTCACCATGTGATACACATGCCAGGCCACGCTGACTGGGGCAACCTTTCACTTGCAAGTCATGATCAGCCTGGAGTGACTTCAGGGCAAGCACTTGAAATGGCGATTAAAAGGAAACCGCCGCCATCAAGCCTTCTGCTCTTACTCCTCTGCTGGACCCATTCCCATTCCTACAAGCTGCTGTCCCTGAAACAGTGCCCAAAACCATCCTCTTACTGACTACTCTTACATTACACAAAGCC